GAAAATCCGTGAAGATGCCGACCTAGTTATTGATGAAGTACTTAAAAAAGCACAAGACTTTGCATTGGAATTGGAAATAGAAATTTCTATCCCTCGAATTACCAAGAGGCAAATACATAGAAACAATCCTCCATCAGACTGTGATAGTGACTACTGGAAGCGTTCGTTAATTATACCGTATCTGGATTCAATTATAGCCTCTTTAAATATTCGCTTTTCTCAAGAACATACTCCAGCGTTTGCCTTAACAAAAATACATCCATTATATATGCTCGACATGGAAACCAATCAAGTAGAACAAAATGCACAATATTTTACCCAGTTTTATAAATTGGACGATATTACTGCGGAAATGGACCTATGGTATAATTTGTGGAAGGAAAAAAAGTCAACTGAGGACCAGCTAAAAGACGTCGAAATAACTGACCTTCTCGACGAGACCGATGTTTTTTATCCCATCCTAAAACAGGCACTTTTGATTTTAATCACAATTCCATGCACCACGGCCACTGTAGAACGATCCTCCAGTACTCTTCGAAGAGTGAAGACTTGGTTGAGAAGTACCATGGGAGAGGAAAGGTTAACAGGATTATGTCTCATGAGTGTGCATCGTGATTTAATTAAATCAAATCGAGAGCAATTTGAAAATCAAGTTTTAAATAAATTTGCGACAAATCCAAGAAAATTGTTATTGAAATAAAAATTAAGCGAGTTATGTCAAAATTTAGTAATTAAAAAGAGAAATGCAAAATCCATTGTTTTTTTTTTTTTGGTCAGCCCCCCCCTATTTCAGATCCTGGGTACGCCCTTGCAATGTCACCTTAAGATATAGAATAAACATAGACATTGACATTATTGTCTGACCTTGTTCGATGACGTTATTCTAAATATAACATAAAAACTCTATACTTATACTTTAGGGCAGTGGTTCTCAAACTTTTTTCTTTTGCGCCCCCTTTCTGAAATCAAGAAGTGGTCGCGCCCCCCTTTCTTCCCCCATTATACAAAAACATTTTTTTTTACTTACTGTAACTCCTCTGAACTGGTCTTTGGCAGAGGAAGAATGGAGATGACAGTGGGCAGCGAGCGTGCGCTGTAGCAATTACAGTATTCCTTTTATACATCGAGTTATACCGAACGTGTCGCTCTAGAGCTCCTCGGAGTCACTCCAAAACACACAATTCAGAATAATTCAGATATTAGAGAGTTCTCGTGCAGTCCAAATTTGAAATACCGTAACGTTATTTGACAAGTATGACAGTTCTTACGGTATTAGCGTTAGCGAAGCCGCCCGCTACCTAACGAGAGTTAGCGGATGCCTTACCGTAACGCTATGCTATGTCAAAATTAGTTTACGCTCCATTTTCGTCTGTAAGAACAACAACTTCTAATAATTCCAAAATAAAAAACACCAAGGAAAAATTATTGAAACTCAGGAATCTTCAGGATAAATAAAAGTTGGCAAACAAGTAAAAAAAAGTTGGGTTGGATCACTCAATTCAGCTGTCAAAATGTAAACAAAATAAGGGATTAGAGGATTTTTGTGTCTTCATGTCCGAGACACTAAGCAGCTCCGAGTAACTCAACGGGTAAAAGGAATACAGTAACAGATCGCATGGCATAGCTGCTTTGGCTTATGTATGCGCTGTTGTAGGATTGTAGACATCTTTTTTAAAATTTCACCTGATTTTTTATTTTAAAGTTTAAAATTTGTTTTATGTCATACCAATACATTATTGTGGTTTTATACCTTAGATACCATCTACATAATTCATTACTTTATGCCCGTGCGGGCATAAAGAACACATTATGGCCCGCGCGGGCATAAAGACGCAAAAAACATCTTTTAATTAACTTATTCTTCATTAAAGAAATATAAATTTACGCTTATAAACATATTATTTTTGTCAAAAAATGATGATGTTTGTACAGGGCCGTACATAGGGGGGTGCGGCCGGTACAAATTACCGGGGCCCGGGATCCGCAGGGGCCCGGGCGTCAAAAATGTTCTCATAGGTCTATGGTACAGGTTTATTGGTTATGAATGGCACCCCCTCCACCTTTTTTATTTGCCATTTTAGAAAAAAGTGTCTTAAAAGTTTTATGGTTGAACTCACTTTCGCATATACAGAGTGTTTCAGAAAAACTGGTAGTGGTCCAACTCTCTTATTTTCAATGGAATACCCTGTATTTTATTGAATATTCGGATTCTACGTAAAATTCTAAGCAATTTTTTTTCATGGTACCCTTTACCTGTTCAACTATTTTGAAAATATTAGGTCTGTTTCTACAGAAATCATAAACCAGTAACCAGTCAGAGTGTTTTTGATTGGTCCAAATCGCCAACAACCAGTTTCCTGACAATGAAATTGGCTCTGAAGGGTTTGTGATTTCTGGTGGAAACAGACCTATTGGCAGTTGAAAATGCACTTCTTTCCAACTTTGACAGGTTGAAAAGCCTAAACGGATGCTAAACGCTTAATTTTAGAGCAAAACCGATTCATAGACCATCATTAAACACCAAATTTAAATTTAACCGGAGATCAACCAACAAGCCTGTGCGTATCCGCCCTTCGGTCGTCGCTGATGCGCTGTTCATACTCCCCTTACGCGATCGGAATTTTCGTGAAGTGAAGAGGTTTCACTTCAAAAATACCCTAAAAAAATTATACCCGAAGCGCGCTTTTTTAACGACATTTGGATGAAAATTTGGGCAGTCATCACAATGTAAAATGTTGGGGGCCCGTCGGAATGGCTGTACTGGGGCCCTCGCGTGCTTTGCACGTCCCTGTGTTTGTACACTGATGACAATTTGCGAAGTGACACTTTTTTCCCAGGTATTTATTATTCACAACCAACTGGTATGACATAATAGTAGATTATACCACGAGTCAATAATGATAGCTATTATTCCCGAGGATCATTACGAACTGAGCCGCGTTAGCGGCGAGGGAGTAACATTCCGAGGGAATAATAGCCATTATTGCGAGTAGTATACTGTACTTTATTTACGACAAATTAATTTATTTGAGATTTTCAATGAACAAATCTCATCCGTCTCATAATTTTCAATACAAATTCACAAGTACTACACGTTTGACACTGACACTTTTGTGGAATAATGACCATTAATCCCGCTACTCGTCATTAATCCCTGGAGGAATAACATATGTCATTATACTGCCAAAATCACAAATATAATACGCACATTATACATTAGTCGTAAATAAAAGTTTGTATGCACCATGGGTACTAATAGATATATATATACCCTCGGGCGACTTACGAACCCTCGGGCTAGAGGCCCTCGGCTTTGTAAGACTGTCGCCCTCAGGGCATAATCATCTACTTAGTACCCTTGATACATAAATAACTATTAATTGTTTAGAAGACTTACGCCCCCCTCAATGTTGCTTCACGCCCCCCACTTTGGGAACCGCTGCTTTAGGGTAAGTCTTGATTTTAAGGTAATATTGTAATACCGGCCCCGGTTGAAATTTTTTATTCCATAACAATAATAATTGTGAACGTGCTTTATGAATTAATCAACGACAAATATTTTTTTCTAAATTATGACGTCATTGATGACGTAAGTAAGTACAAAAAATGCAAAAAAAATACATAAAATAATTTGGTTGCATTAATTGTTTATATAAGTGTTAGGTAGTGCTATGATGGGATGCCGAATAGGAGTGCTAATTTTTGCTTTAGGGGTGCTTAGCACCCCCCTAGTTGCGCCTATGACAGCAGTACATAATTCTTATTTTAATACAAATATTGAGTTTCAAATTAACAAAATAAATTCCAAAAAACCTTTTAATGATTGAAAATAGTTGAAAAACATTAAATATTTAGTAAATATCATTTCAAAATTTTACATCATTATTGTAATTTTTACATGTGAGGCCCGGCCTCAGTTGCTTTATACGACGAGCCGCCACTGAGTTTGAGGGATATTTTTCAGGCCTATGATGAATCATTTTCATAGATTTCAACAGCAACATTAAGTTATCTGTCAGTTTCTCATAAAAATCAGTGCCTGTAAAGTTCGCCTTACGAGTCTAGCACTATGGAAAGAATGCGGATAAAAAAATTGCAATATTGCCTATTTGACTTCCAATAGAAAATACCTTAATATTTATCTATGTAACATGCCTACATTTATAGGGAAAAAGTAATATTTAAAAACGCCGCGTGTACGCCTATGATAGGCAGCATAAAGCTCGAAATGAATGGAGTTAATCCCCCTTGCCCTTCAGACGTCGTAGTGCTAGACTCGTAAGGCGAACTATACATTTTTTGAAATTCACGTACCATTTAAATATTTTTAATTTAAAAAGAAGAAAAAATATTCCATGCCCTCATTGTATTGTTTAAAAATAATTATATAATTGAAAAGGAAGAAATGGTTTTGTTGTTTTGTCCTGCCTGAAATTTTTTACCACCCAAAGTTTTCTTGGTTTTCCTATAATACGATATTAGTGAAACTGGTTTTTCCTATTTCCCTTGTTTTTGAAATCTCATAAAAAACATCCAGGTCCTTTTTTTTTCCTTTCTATGGACGAATATACATTCCTCACACGTAAGCTGCCTGTCCGGGCACACTTTTGTTTAAACTAGCCCCACAACTCTGGCAAATTTGCTCTCATGCATTTTTAACTGAAAAAGGCATTCGTCACTCGTGCACTTTTTCAACTAAAAATGCATTCGGGAAAATTTGCCAAAAATTATCAATAATTTTCAGCGACAAAAAAAACGGCAAATTTCCAGTCGCTCAATTTTTCACTACCGACATTTTTAGTGACTGACAAATGATTTTTCTTTCCAACTTGATTTTTTATGAAAAACAAAGAACAGGCAAATTTTTGGTTTTCACAACTTATTAGCGGCAAATTCTTGGCATAATGGAAAATCAATTCTCCGAAGTTGTCTCGCTAACTTGATAGACATCCAGATCCAGTTAGGATTGAGGAACAAACCAAAATAAAACAAACGAAATTTTAATATTTCATCATAATTTCTTTAATTTTAAATATTACAAATTACTTGTGGAAATAATAAACAAAGTACCCTAACATTTTTCTAATAAAGGTAAAGTATATACAAATCGAAAAAATACACAAAATAAAACAATAAGCGCGCGCGTGTGTGTGTGATCAGGAGGAAGGAGGGTTTCAGCCCTTTTTCGAAATAACTTACAAGGTATAAAAAAATACTTTAGGTAATACTTTATCATGGTTTAAATTATATAAATTTTGCAGCTTAACTGGGAGTGTGTAAAATGAGACTAAAGTAAATTTGCGTTCACTTGACAAAAAAATTGCGTAAACCCTAGGGTTAGTTAATCATAGGATTAACTAAGGGTTCATTATAATAATATATATAGTGTGCACATTATTTACGGAGCGAATAATAATAATTACTAAAAAATATGTTTTTTTTTTTATTAGGAACCAGGTGCTTATATATTAATTATTATTACTTAATTAATTTTTTGCTTAAATTACATGTGATTATTGCCAATAATTATTATTGAAACAGAAAATGCTGCTTATACAGGGTGGCTCAAAAAAATATAAATTCTGACAGTATAGTGTGACAGTTTGAAGCTGCGTGTCTCTCTATACCCTGAAATTACATTCCTTTGCAACCTTGTATTAGTGGAATAACGATACCTTTTTTTCGAATGCCATATTTTTCTATCTACATTTATACAACATTTATAAAATAGTAATGTCGGATTGAAAATCCGATTCACACGATGCAGAAAAAATAAAGGCGAAAATACAACAAGTTAACAATCATAACAAAAAAAAAAAAAAAGTTACACAGGCGAGGCATCATTAGTTAGAAAAATCTACATCCGGGAATGTAACAAAATTATTATTTATGTATATAGGTATATTATATGAGCTGGAGGTTTTTTCTTTTTTTGAAAAATTTGATAATCAAAACACACACTTTGGAAAATTCTTGTTACAATGAATATTTATGGACCCATAACCCGTTATGCAATTCCTCAAATAAGCCACAAATTTCCATGTTACAGGAGCTCGAAGGTTATGGGCCCAGGCCAAGCAGAATTTACTGATATCCACTTTTTGTATTGGTTCATTTCTAGACCCAAAACCAATAATTACAATTATTAAGTATTATTGCTTTTTGGGCAGATTTGAAACAATACAAAGTTAATCAGATTGGCCTAACAACTGTGCAAAAATCAATATACAGTTAATTTGAATAATCAATATAATACATGTGTGTTTTGATTAACCCTCCATGCAAAATGTATCACACCACTGCGATTTTGTTCGTTATAAAAAAAGAGAAATACCTCATTAATTAGGTACAATATTTACACAATATTAATTACTACTATTTAGTTCAGCCTTACATATTTAATCAGACTTGCTATACATTTGATTTTGAATTTATTCGAAGAAGGGACAAAGAGGGGGACGAGGCTTATATTCGAGACGGGACACACAAGGGCAAATTTATAATCGATTTAAAATTTATAACCAGAATATTTTTTTAAAATTTGTAATATTATAAATAATTTAAAAAGAAAACAACAATGTAATTATTAAGGGTGCAAGTAGTTGAGCTTTATTGGTTTGAAATAAGCAGGAGCGAATAATGCACTGTAAATTTGGTGAGAAATGTTCGTTTCTGCTTAGCTAAGGGCCAGTTTCTCAAATAGCAAGTGACCCCCGGGTTAAGCGTAACTCCAGCAACTGGAAATGCTTACCCTGAAGTTAAAACCAACCCGGAATTGACTCGCTATTGAAAAACCAGGTCTAAAAGATTTAAAATTGCACCCTTCTAGATTTGGTTATACATCAACCGACCTCAAAAACAAAGATAAAAAAGTATAAAGACGAAAAAATCAAATAAAGACAAGAGCGACCGTGAATGAATAAATAAATTAAATAATAAAACTTATATCCTATTGACAATTTTTAGTCCAAAGGTACAGGTAAAATTATCCCCCTTTCCCTATCAAATAGCATTATTGAAAGGTGATAAAATTTACCTGTACCTTTAGACTACAGATTGTGAATAAATGTTTTTTTGCTGTTCAAGGAAGGAAAGATTTTGATAAAATAAGCTGCTGCGTATAACAAAGTGCCTTTTTTTTTGTAAATTTGTTTTATTAATATTTTACAGTTTCCTTGTTTGCCATTAATTTTCATGAGGTTTTCACACACCCCAGGGCGGCTCGCCTCTTAGCACAGTGGCGGGGGGGTGATCCCCCCCGCCCCGATCGTGCGGCATCCCCCTAACCGCCCCATCCACCACCCCAGGCAATAAATTAGGCTCATGCGTTGGTGGAACGTTATTGTTGCTGCCTCGGAACGGACTCGAACGACTGTTTTGTATAGGGACCAGATTTTGACCTGAGAATTTTCAAAAATTTAGTTTTGGTTGGATAAAAGGTTTATAATTCTTACCTTGTGGTCGCACTCCGAATATCGGCGGTCGCAAGCGGGGCAAACCGTCAACTTGGTCGGTGGTTGAGGGTTGTTTTTTGCGCCTGCGCCATCTGAGGTATGAGGCCAAGCAAAGGATGACGGCCGAGAAGACTGCGATGGTGGCTCCTCCTGCTATCGAGGCGGTTTCGAGCATGAAGCGGCGTTGCGATGCTGCAAAGGAAAAAATATCTATGTTAGTATGATAATAAAGAGAAACTCACTAGTCACAAATTCTCATTAGTGAATTATAATGAGACATCTCGTTTCAAAAAATAATTGTTATCTGAGAAAGGCTTACAAATATTGGCCAATCTGTATCTTTTTACAGTGGTTTATTTTTGTTGAGTCAAATTACAGTGGGTAGAATTGATTCCTATTACCGGCTCTTGTCAAAGATTTTCTACATTAAGAGCTAAGGATAATAAAATATTGAGTACCCTGTATCTTTACATAGTGTTGGAATTACTGACTCTTGTGGAAGATTTCCTACAAGAACCGAAAATAATAAAATATTGATCACTCTGTATCTTTACACAGTGGCTTATTTTTATTCAATCAAATAACAGTGGGTAGATATGTGGGGTGTCAAAACTATAGCACCCAATGGATATTTTGTTTTCAGGACAACAGTAGGGAGGGGAGTAGGCGCCAAAATTTGGATTGGCCTTGGGCGTCGAGAGTTCCAGTTGTGACCCTGTGCTAAGTGATTATATTTAGATTCTAAAAATGCTGATAATCGGGTCTGTTGAACAAGCCTTCGCTCCAGTGCCATTGAAACTTTCTATGAAAACCCAACTAAAAGACAATTTATTCATTCCCTGATTAACTTGCTAATAAATTATTAAAGTCTCACTTTACAAAACATCATTATTTAAAAAAAAATCATAACTCCATTAATAATAACTCAATTGCTTTGAGTTTTTATTATTTTTTACATTGAACCTTTAGGAGAAAGTCCTCAAAATTTCAACTCTCCACTCATTTTAGTTTTTGAGTGAAAAAATTGTTTGTAGAATCTTACTTTACAAAAAATCATTATTTAAAAAAAATCATAACTCCATTAATAATAACTCAATTGCTTTGAGTTTTTAGTATTTTTTACACTACACCTTTAGGAAAAAGTCCCCAAAATTTCAACATTCCACTCACTTTAGTTTTTGAGTGAAAAAATTGTTTGTAAAGTTTTACTTTACAAACCATCATTATTTTTAAAAAATCATAACTCCATTAATAATAACTCAATTGCTTTGAGCTTTTAGTATTTTTTACATTGAACCTTTAGGAAGAAGTTTTCAATTTCAACTCTCTACTCACTTTAGTTTCTGAGTAAAAAAAATTTTTGTAAAGTCTTTATTCATCAGATTACATCACCAGATAGTTTATCAAAAAGTGACTAAACCGAACCTTACTCATTCTGTGATACATATACACTTTTATAATGTCCTGGAGAATATTATTGCTTTCTGGATTCTGGATTCTGGATTAAATTTAACACTAAAATGGGTATACCTACCCTTAAAACTGTCAATGGAGATACTTGCATAGATTAGATAACGCGGAAAAAGCCACAATGCTTGCCAATAAGTTTTCAAAGGTCTTTACGTTTCTCACATAATAGATAGTGATTTTTACGTTATGTTGACGACTTACTCACTGGTGGCGTAACTGTCGAAGAAGTCAAACAGATAAAGGAAACTTCATGAACTACTTATGAGATATTTTTTTTTTTTTTTTTTACGGATATGCGCACTCGCAAGAAAATGTCCTATCACGCTCGAGAAGCGGCAGATATGGTTTTCCCTTAAGAAAATGGTCTTTCAATGATACGTCACCCACCTCTGATCTTACCACAAGTTGTATCTCGTTTGATACAGAAAGTTCTTGTAAAACTTTCGAGATATTGTGGAATCATAATTCTGATAAACATTGGAATATGACATAGGCATAGGTACTGGTGAACCCAACGAAGGAGTTACAAAGCGCACACTCATCTTTTCAATTACGCAGATTTTTGACCTGCTTGGTCTTCTGTCTCCTGTAACGATCTCTGCAAAAATCATCTTACAGCAATTTTGGAATCTTAAGATTCCATGGGATGAATCTATCCCTATGGACCTACACACAATTTGGTCTACTTATAGGGGTAAATGCGCACAAAAATATTCGGACCAGGGACCACCTTTGTCGGTACCAATAATGAACTCAAGGGTTTCCTTGAGAATGATTCCTCTGCCATCTCGGATAGTTTGGCGAATTCGGGTATACAATGGAGTTTTATACAGCCTCGCTCCCCTCTTTGGGGGACTTCGGGAGTTCAACGCGAAGTCAGTGAATTACCATCTAAAGCGTGTTGTTGGTAACTCATGTTTCACATTTGAAGATTTTATTACTGTTTTGAACCAAATAGAGGCTTGTCTGCATTCCAGAACCTTATGTCACCTCTCTGACAACCCCAATGATCCTAATTCTCTTACCCCTGCGCACTCCCTTATCCCTTACCACAGTTCCACAACCGAATCTGCTAGAAGTGGCAGAAAATAGACTGTCAAATTACAAGCATAGGCAGCAGATGGTCCAAAATTTCTGGTCCCGTTGGGCCAAAGAATACATAAGCGAACTTCAGATTCGCACAAAATGGAAACAGCATCCTCCACAATTGTTAAAACCTGGCATACTTGTCATCAGTAAAGAAGATGAACATCCACCTTTGAAATGGCGAATTGGCAAAGTGACTCAAGTTTTCTCGGGAGAGAATGGTGTGATCACAGTATCTATCAAGACAGCTACAGGAGTGTTCAAGCGTCCGGTGACAGAATTACCCATTATACTCAATTAAGACTTTCAAAAGTCCATGCGCTTTCAAGGGGGGCGGTATTTTCAGTGTTGTGTAGTTGGAGTCGGCTCTACTCAGGGGTCGTATTTTCGAATAAAGGAAAAAGAGACTGTTTTTTGATACACATTGTTTTCTACTTTTCTAAGTTTCTTATGTGATTTATAGATTATTCAATAAAATAATTAGTTGTAACGTGAAATGCTAATAATTTTAACCCTTCAACACAACACGTAGAGTGGACAGAGTTGATTCTGAAGGAACTTATCAGAAAACTTTCGACACAATAAACCAGCATGAGATGTTGAAGGCAATATCCAGCTAACGAATAAGACCACCGCTATATGATGCTCGCCCAACTCACCCAAACTGTTCACTAAATCGAGCACTAAATAGATTGGAAGCAACCGGGAAGGAATATAAATGGCGAAAAACTAAATCATCTCTGATTTGCAGATTGCAGACAGTATGAACGACGCAGCCTCAATGTTGGAAAAATTATATGTTGCTTCACAAAAAGTAGGGTTAAAAATCAACATGACCAAAAATGAAATTATGACAAATCTTGTTCTTGGTGGAAATGTTAGTGTTGCTGGAAAAATATTATGAGTAACAACTGCCTATAAATATTAAGGACATGGGATTCGTATCAGCAGAGATAATCAAACATGCGAACTTGCTCGTAGAATAGGATTGACATGGACTGCCTTAGCGACGTCTTCAAGGCGACACTCTCAATATATCTGAAAAGAAAAGTTTTCTACCAATGTGTTCTGTCAGTGCTGACAACAACTAGTTCTCCTGGACTTGATGGTGTGTCCACTCTGATGCTCAAAAAATGTGCGAAAAGCCTTCTGCACCCCCTAGCAAAAATAATGAACTTGTCCTTCCAGCAAACCAGACTTCCAATTGATTGGAAAAGGATGCCAGTCACACCCATCTATAAAAAAAGGTGACAATACACAGACAGAGAAAGACAGGCTTATCAGTCTCTTACCCATTATATATAGGCAAAATGATAGAATTCATAATAGTAGATGTCAGAGACTTTGCGGGCTGCAGAACAGTAGATTCCACAATAACATATGGCTTCATTTAAAAACGCAGTAGAATTAAATGTCTGCTGGGAATGTCTCAATGACTGAACCAGACTTCTAGCCAGAAGATGTCATCTATTTAGATTTTACCAAAGCGTTCGACAAGGTGCCTACACGAAGACTCGTAATAGAGCATTTTTTGCCGCACTGGGTCAAGGATCATGTCTCAGACAGACAGTTCCAAGTCAAAGTTGCTAACTCGCTTTCCGAACCACACCCAGTGCTAAGTAGAGTACCGTAGATTCAGTGCTTGCACCATTGCTCTTTGTGTTGTACACGCTGGATCTACCGGACCTTATAAAATCCTTGAAAGCTAATTATGCTGATGACATAAAGATCTACAGTCCTGCTCCTGACTCAGCCAAGAAGACCTTAACTTGATTTTTGAGTGGACAAATAGATTCTTCGATTATTCCATCAATGGTATTGTACTGTCCAGTGTTCAGCAGCATAACGATCTCGGCATTCTGATATCTAGTGATCTTTCCTGGTTTCCTCATATCACAGAAATTTGCAGTCAAGCAAACAGCAAACTATTTCTGTTAACAAGGGTATTCCCCAACATACCTCAGGAAGAATTCACCAAACTGTCTACTGCAGACCAATACTTGAACATGCAGATTACGTGTGGAATTCTGAACTGATAAGAGATTTAAAAAAAAACCTGAAACATGTGCAGAGAAAAGCTACGCGGTTGCAACTTGCCAGGAGAAGACCTAGTGTTGCCAACCCTTTAAAATAAAATTTCCCACTCGAATGTGTAAAAATTCACAAATTTTCCCATTATGCAAAATAAAAATTCCCCAGAATTTTCCCAGGATTCTGTTATCATTTATGGTTACCAGGTCTGTTCCAACACGTCAAAAACCGGTCCATGAATAGTTCGGAAATCACTCTGTATACGAATTTTCGATTCTATGCACAAATTTTAGGCTTTGCGCAGAATCGTGAGGTACATAGTACGGTTTTCTGCCGTGTTAGAACAAAGGTCATCAGCTTATTTCCAGTCGATCAATTCATTTGCCAATTAGGATAAAAGTTCAACTTATTAAAAAATAGGTAGGCAACTGGAAATAACCGTTCTAGAACGCTTCTCATGTCGGTTGGAACAGAACTGTCGAACTGTGGCTGTGACAGCTTACAGCTTTTACAGCCTAGCCTGGATATGGAGCCATCTCGTAGCAGAATGCTAAACGTTATTGGTTCAAGTACCATAGAGACAGAATGTCAGAGAATTAATAATA